TCTCATCTGGTGTACTTGCTACTCAATGTACGTAAAGTCCATCTAGGATGAAGGAAAGGAGAAGACGAGGTAAGAAAGTTGAGAATAATTGAGGAGTTGTTGAGGTACTTCCAATTGAGTTTCCTAAAACATCAATGCCTAGAGTTATGGTGGATTATGTTAGTAAATTCATGGATGAAATACCAGATGGTTCGAAGGTTCGGGCTTTTGCAAAAGGGATGTTTTTATGTCAAGAGCAGAGAGAGAGGCTTTGTAAATTGGAAGATCCTAAAGCCAGGCTCGAATGGTTTAAGAGTGAAATGGGTGGGAAATGAATTAGAAGCAATTGTTTTATGCTTCATGTTATGTTGTTTGACATTATATATGGTTTAGACTTATGTGGTGCTGGATTTGGAATTTGGATCATTACCTTATGTTTCATATTAGGTAATTGTAGTATTTGCAGTCGTATAGTTATGATATGTTTGGCTGTTTTGGTGTTCCTATTGTTTGAATAGTTTGGGAACTCTTTTTAGCCGAAGTATCTAAATAGCAAGGAGAGATTTTAAATAAAAAAATAAAAAAAGAATAGAAAATGGTAAGAAAAAACGGGTAGCAAATCAGGGGAACTTGTTTGTCTATGAGATTGTCATTGGTACTCCGAAGGAGTTGTCATGTCTTTATGTTTACATTTTTTCGTAAGGGAGGAGTGCCATATGGTTGCTTTTACATGTTAATTCCCTAAATTTGAACCGTTTAAGAGTAGGAAAGTTTTTGGCCAAAAAAAAAAACAACTCAGGCAATTTGAAACTTAATTTTAACAAATATATCGCTCGTACCACAAAAAACCCAAATCCATTACAGAATCAGAGATGCACTCTTAACTATTTTGATATGGGTGTTGATTTTTGCACTCCTCTTTTGTCCACTTACACAGTGGAAGCAAATAGCTCCCATTTCACCCATTTCATATTAGGATCCTTCATATTATGATTGGATGTGAGTGATTTGAGTTGTTGGATGGCAAAAGATCTAGCTTTTGTATTTTTTCAACATCAAACACAGAAGAAGAAAGGCTAATGATTGGTTCTTGCAAAATTGGGCTGAGTAGTAGCTGGAGGGTAAAGGAACAAAGGTTAAGACCAACTTGATTTACGAGTCTATAATCATCTTGTGAACTTGTAATGGAGAGCTAGTTATATACAATCACATCTCACCATAATAACACAAACTAATCATAAATCACTAATCACATCATATAAATGAATGAATGGTAAAACTTATTTAGATTTTCAAGTCTTATATAGGTTTTGTGCCATTTTTTATATTTGATATATATATATTTTTTTGTTTTCGTTAGTTCTTCAGTTCCATGTACTTTTGTTCAGTCCTTCAATGTCAAAATCCATAAAATTCATAATAAATTTTTTTAAAAATCCAAAAACATTTTTCTTTTCATTCTTGAGTCATTTTAGTTAGGCCTTCCATAAGTCAATGATAACACTTGAATTATATTTTGGTATATAGCTTGTAAGGATTGAGATACATTATGTAAGTTTTAATTGTGGTTCTTCAGTTAACTATTTTTATGCACATGGCCAATTTAATGCAAATTACTTTTGACTTAGAGAATTATATGTGGATTAAAGTGTAGACTCAACAATAACCCTTGTGAGTTCTTTTAGCTTCATGCACATTCTTCGTTGAGAGACATATTCTTTTCATGATTGCATTATTATTCTTCAATATAACTCAGGGGCTGATCCACAGAGGAGTAAGGGTGGTCAATTGACCCCTGCAACCTTTGGAATCCGCCATTAGAGGGGAAAATCCACAAAACAATGCATTTCCTTCCAATTTGTTGTGATAAAATAATAGATGATTGACTAAATAAACATCGTATAAAGTTTCAATAAAAATTTCCAAGTTTTTTCTCAATTTTTGTGGTTTTTGTTCAATTTTTACCCATATCGATAATTTCTCGATATTTCCGTGTTTTTGGACTACCGATATTTCCGAAACCCTCGATATTTGGTTTGAACTCATTTCTTCAATTTTCAAACCCTAAATCCCCAAACCCCTATTCCTACTAAACCAAGCTTCACCCAATCCGACAGTGGCTTCCCCATCTTTAATGTGGTTTTTTCTTTTAATCATGAATTTTAATATTATCGTTTCATTTTAATGGGTATATTTTATATAAAAATTGTAATATTTTATTAAGTTGTGTGGCTATATTGGGTGTTTTATAAATTTGGTGTGATGTGAAAATTAGGCCTGTAAATTAAGCCCAGGCCAGATGGGCCAACTCGAATCCGGCCCAATTTTTTAAATTATGGGCTTACCCAGCCCCGACATATTGGGCCGGCTTAGCCCGGACCGATAACTTATGAGCTGGGCTTGGGCTTTGTTTTGAGACCCTTAAAAAGCCCGGCCCTGCCCGATATAATTAATTAACTTATATTTAAGTTAACAATTATGACAATTTCAGGATATTTGGTGAGCAATAATATTGATATTTGTAAGCCTTTTATAATGGATAAAAAAAATGGGAGGTTGCCTTAAGAAAACGATGTGGGATTGGGTCAATACAAGGGGTCGTTTGGTACAGTGGACTGTCATGGACTGGACTAAATCCTAGGACTGTCTCGGATTAGCTTAGATTGGCCTAAGCTGGATTAAGTACTGACCTACGTTTGGTGCTGCATCGGACTAAGAAGCTGGAGTGTAAAAATAGTGAAGACCTATGTTTGGTGCTGTGTCGGACTAA